AACGTAATTTCCCGATCATTTAAATATGAATATGGTGAGATACATTCTTTGAATAAGCGAGAAATGGATTTAACTCCTGTTTGACAATAACTGTGAATTTATTTCCTTTTATTTAAAATTAGAAATCAAATGTGATCATACACCAACGCAGTTTTTAAAGATATACATTTTTCAACACAGAATCATTTACCAAATTACACCATATCCAATCATTTTACGAGTCAGAAAATGCTATCTGTTCATTGCAGTTATTGTTTATTGAATTAGATTACCATGAGCTCAACATAATTGTGTAGAGTACAAGTCCACAGCCAAGAAAATGTTATTTGCATCTCATTTTATTTATGAATATGGAATGATGGAATTCTAACAATGGAGTTTGTTATTATTTACTATAACTTGATCATTCTGCTTCAGTTTGTGGGCTACAGCCAGTTTATGGTAGCAGCGCGTTAACAGCTTCATCCTCTGAACGTGTGTACTGTCTGTTAAAAAAACTGCAGGAACCCAGAACACAGACAAAAAACATAACCCCCTTCACATCTCAACTATTGTAACGGGTCCCCGATATGACCACAGTGATGATACCTGTATTAAGCAGGTGAAACAGGAGCTGTTGACAGGAAGTTGTTGTTGCTATGGAAACAACATGACGGTATCTGATATCTTCTACATATAAGACGGAGAAAGTAAAGAATAAAGTTTATGTTTAAATGTTAGCACCCCCCGAAGAGGCACAAGCTCTTACGTTGAGTCTGGAGTTTCAATAAATTCTAAATCATCAGTAAAGTCTACGACCATATTTCGGAGGGATATGATACATATTAACTTTCAATTTTATGCATTTCAGTTCTTCAATAACATTACTTAATTATCACTTCACTTTCCTGACACAGTTCCACTAACATACATTCACTGTCGATTGTTATTTTTTAATATTCTTTGCGGAATTTGGCCGTGTAAAATGTCCTCTTGGGTTGCCGTACAGCCAATGCGTGACGTCATTAGTAAGCGTAACGGACCCCGTGCTAATCTGGTAGGCCGTGCAGATATGGTACCTACATCGGTGTGAACGCGATCGGCTCTTTAGTTCCATGGGAGTACTAAGTGCTGGGAACTAAGTACGGCAAAGTAATTAGTAAATGCTAATGGCATTTTGTATAAATTCAAAACTATTGAGGTTTTCAGATGGAGGCGGTCATCGTATTTGAATAAAATAAAACATTCTAGAAACTAATTTCTGAATTTGAATTAAGTGATTCATCAGATTAAATAATGTATTCAATCAAATTCCTTTATTATATATAGCTTTTTTCAACATAATGATGTACTAGTGGTAGAGCAGTGAAAATATTATTTTTGGAAGGCTAGACGTCGATATGGATTGAAACAGGATGTTGTCTTTGATAAATATCTTGATCTGAAACAGGTTGAAACTAAATATACAGACACGTAAAGAAAAAATAAATGCTGAAACTCCATTGTAGTTTGCCTTGGAGCAACAAGTACAAATGCACCTATGGATTAGCCTACACACCAATTATACGTATATCCTATAGAAATCCCTAACTGGCCGTTAGAGGTCACTGTATGAGAGTTTTAAGTTAGACCTGCTGTAACCGCTGTAACACTATTCACATTTCTCCTTTTAGTGATATCTGATTGTCGTGTTGCACGATGCACGATCCCACATATGCATTATCATATGGTTAAAAACGAAATATATTCTGTGTAATTGTATTTAAAAGTAAGCATTTCCCTCATTTTGGGTTCTGATTATCTGAAAAGTGAAGAGTTGACTTGGCGCTACCGTGCGTCTGTTATTGCACTGCCACAGGTCAAGTGCAGCAACCAGGACCTGTCAGTTTGTCAGTTGTGTTTATGGGTGCGTCACAAAGTGAATGTACTTGTTTTGTAAAACCGGTTCCCAAGATAATGCAAAGTTGTCTGCAGTGTTATCAAAGTAACTCACATGAAAGCTAATCGTCTAATTTCATAAAAATGATTTTACTTTATGAAGTAAACCTTTTTATTTGATGGTAAATATAATCTAATGCTTGTTGATGTTCCTGCAGGTTCTGGGGGACCTCAGAACGGACAACCAGAGGCTGAAGGACGAGAACGCCGCGCTCATTCGAGTCATCAGCAAACTCTCAAGATGAACCCTTAAAAACATGGAGATAAAAAGTATTACAGAATCTTCTTTTGCCCAACTCAGACGACACAGGAAGAGCGGGCAGCAGCAACACCTGCACAGCACATTGACAGTAACTGGAACAACGTTTTAGATTTCAGGGTTTTTAGTGTTTTGGGCCTTTTTGTTTTGGCAGATCTACTGTATGATAAGCTGAACTGCACCTCCTGTGGACTCACATCCACTTTTTTTTTTACGTCTTTATTGTATTTTTTTAACTGGAATATTTTAATGTGCTTTGCTCCTCTGATACTTTGTGTAAAATCCGTATTAAGAGACCTAAAAGCCATGCACAGTGCGAGCTCACGGTTTTAGCCTTCTTGACCCCTGAAGGGATGGAGGGAAAAAAAAGCCAGTCAGGTGTAGGGTATGGTTACTATTATAAGACAAAAATTACCGTAAATGTGCCAAAAACCAGCCCCAGTTTTACATGTCCTTTGGGGGAAACTCCACGAGGTCAGTGTTGTTTCTCAGGGTGAGTCTCGGGTCGATGCTTTCTGTTTTTGGTGGACCAAATTTTGCATGCTCATTTCTCCCTGCTCCTCTGAATGTATATTTAATATGTATATTTATGTACAGGGGCCATCTGTCCTGACAGTGATGTAAAGTCTCGAGCGGAGAGTTTTGGGTGCTAATAATGGAAGTCATGTTCAGAGTGATTTTTAAGGAATTTGTTTTGTTACAAACATCAGATCTTTCATGAGCTTTAGGAGAATGCATGCTCTATCCTTAGTACTGTACGCCAGTAGTGATTTTGCCTTTTTTGTTTGACTGGAGGCTTCTGAAAGCAACGACCCCTCGGCTATGCTAAGCTAAGTATTCACCCTGTGACGGACGGCTGGTAGGATTCAACAGACAGGCCGGATGGGTCAACGTTTGAATGTTTACTCCAATTTTAAAGAAAAACTTGCATGTCAAATTGTATTTTGATGCTGTGCCTTTCGATATACATTTCTAAGTCATATTTCTATTTTGCTTTGGCAAACGTACACTGTTAAGTATGAAATACAGTATGGGCATACATTATTAAGGCTCTGTTGTTTGTTTGTTTTTTCCCGCCCAAATGCTGATACACCAGTATCACAGGGACACATCTTTGTTACAATTATCTTGAAAATAATTCTGTCAAACTACGATATTATCATAAGCGCATTGAAATAAGCATTTTAGGCATTTAAGTGTGTCCTGTCAAAATATGTTTATGTTGGTATGACAGGTATTACTGTAATGAAATAATGCAGAACTTACACAGCATGTCAATTTGAAGCATCTTTCTGTAAGAGCTTCCAGAAGTGTCAAATTTTTTCCAAATGCCCCGGGTTCAGTAAAAACTGAAACTGAACCTAATGTCCCTTTAAAGACACAGGAAAACATAACTCCTGGGTAAAAGCAGTGCTACTATTTGACACAACACCCGTGAAGGAGGCCGAGTTGAGCAAAATCTTTATTGGCCGAGAAGAGCAATAACACATGATAGAATATACAACCCCACCAGCATGCCAGCGTTTTCATAGAAACTGTACAATGTGAAGGAATGTATGGAGCAGGAATACATTATCAGAAGAACCAAAATAAAAGTTATACATCCATATGTTCTGGTACAGTACGAGTCGATTTCAACAAATGTTTCAGGTCAGTTTCAATCCCCTCCTCATTAAATATGGAGCGTGTTCTCTGTTCATGTCACCTTCCATTCATTGGTTTCCTTTTCACTACCAGCGTCTGCCACTTGCTCCTGCACTTTCTCTGCTTCTACTCCTCCACCTGGGGTCTGCTGACTGAAGTAATGGAAGGGGGGGGCTTTGTATGAGGAATGATGTACATTAAGGCAAAGGGAGAAAAAAAGGCTTAATTAGAAATGTGTATTTGTCGCCACATGATCATAGTCAGTGCTAAGGCCTCATGGCTAAAAGGAAGGAGAGGTTCAATAGTTCACTGGTTCCAATTCTCAACATACAGTCTCCTCCAATCACAAGGTGAGTTCATTTCGCAGAGCCTGTATCTGAGTAACGGGCTACGGAAAGCTAACTGGTTGGTAGCTTGGTAAGCCCTTAAAGTACAGATTACCTAACAGTGAGCACTGCATGTACTGACAAGGCATGCTAAATTAGATTTAGACATAAGGCAGCTTTTTTATTTTTTTTATCCTAATATTTTTTACTCCGTTGGTCACTTAGGCCCCAGTCCCCATTTGAAAGGGAGTGGGTGAATACATTACGGGAAGAGAGAGCTCTGAATTAACTCTTCTTACAAGGCAGGTATTGGTAATTACATCAAAAAGACAGCAAGCAAAGGAAAGCTATAGGAGGTGGAAGGGTGGGGGGGCAGGTGGATGTGGTGGGGCCCCGCTATGGACACAACAGCTGATTAACAGTGATATGGTCACAGTACACAACCATTGATACAATTATATATAAAAGAAGGCAAACAAACTAAAGTTGATTGTACAGTTGCTTCGTACTACGCACTGAGAGAGGAAGACACCATTCTGCAGGGGTGGGGGGGTTAATCTCTTCAAGCAGCAAAGATCCGGGGACAAAAGAAAAGCAGGAGGGGGGGGGAAGTTTAAGGTGCTACATGGGGGGGGTGAGTGATTGAGGATGTTACGTTGGTGAGTGCGGATAGGGAGGATGGACGGAGGGATGTGATGGTGGGGGGTTGCTACGGATGCGGGGTTTAAGACAGCGATGGCAGTAACTAAGGCATGAAATGCAAACAGAAAAAGGAAGAAATGGTGGACAAAGGACATGGGATGAGTGGGGGGGG